GTGGGTAGTTATGTTGATATATTTGTTTTTCGCCATAGCAAGTTTTGATGTGCATTCTTGTCAATATTGTTTGGTTCAAAAATCTATAAAGGCTAATGATTTTACTAGCTTATGACTTAAAGTTTACTGTTTCGGGAGAATTTTCCCAAATACTCAGTTGACTCAAGTTTATTTCAGCATAAATTTCTTGCAACATACTTTTAAATATTATCTCTTATTAGTTTATGCCATTGTTTTATTACTTTTTTCCTGGGACTCCAATTTTGTGAATAGTGCCTTTGCTTAACTTTGATTTCTACCACTTTTCTGTGACCTCTTTTTTCCTTATGTCATTTTCATTCTCCCGGTTGTTTTTCTACCTTTCTTCAATGCTAGTCATTATTTTTTCATTTGAGTCTATTCTCTTTTGTGACCTCGTGGTTCTCTTTTTCTTTAGAAGGTAACTTTTTCTTTCTTTCATTTCTCTTCCAGCTTTAATTAACTATATTTTCATTTCCTTATGTTTTTGCCCATTTTTGTTCTTATTTTTTAGATATCAGGTCGTGACAGTACTTATCAGTTCAACTACACCAAGGTTTCTGAAGACAATGGTGTCTCCACCCAAGCAGGTTGTAAATAAATTCCAGATAGAATCTGGCATCACCCTGGAGGAATTCTAACTTCACACTGTTGAGTGTGAAGTCAATACAACATCACAAATTTACCAAGATGGCTTCAGAGTAAACCAGCTTTACACAGCACATTTGAAAAAAAAAGACACATTTATTCAGGGTCATGATCAGACTATTACATTTAGCAATCAACAGCATGAGTGCAAAAAAAAAAATCTACATTAAAACCCTTCGTTGGAATGTTTTACACTTTCCACATAATAGAAACTAAAATAACCTGTTTTACAATTAGTTGAAAATACAGTCCTCGAGTTTTTTGCCCATACACATGAGTATTTGTCTAAAACATGTTTTAATATGTCTTAACACGGACATAAAACATGTCTTAACGTGGACAGCTTAACCTAAAAGCCTGAGTCAAAAGGTGAAAGTTACAGAAGACTCTGGGAGGGAAACGTGCAAAAATAGGTACGAAATGCCTTTTAACGTAGGTCAGTGGGGAAAACAAGGGCTTAGGTAACAGGGCAGCTAATGGGCCTAGTGGATTAAAATGTTCAGTTTATTCCTGAAACCCAGACTGGCCGGTGTAAGTTGATCTGGTGCCTTGGTCATTCGTGACTTCTTTCTTCTATGTCAGCTCTGTCTTCTCTATGCTTCCTCTGGAGGAGGAAGCCTTGACACAATTACACATGGATTGTGTTGTTTTTTTTTTAACTTCTGAAATTCTATCTTAATTACTCAGCTGATTTGTGCTCGTTTTTAGAAAAGGGAAAATGGATTAGCATTTGATAAGCACCTACTGTTAGGTACTTCTAGAGACTTTATCACTTCCTATATTTATGTCTTAGGGGAACTGTAAAAGGTAGTTAATTATTTCCGTTTTGAAGGTGAGGGAAAATTTAGAGATATTAAGTGCTCATGGTCACAAGATGTTAAGTTGTAATTAATAAGTAATTTGTGGGAAAATATTTTTGAGGATATTTAAATTTCTTTTTATCAAAATTTTAACCACTACCTATAGCATTCCTATATAATGATTCCTATAATAAGCCGGTTATTACAATGAAGACTGAAAAATGGTGACTTTTAAAATACTATTCTTTCTACATTTGTAATTACTGCTTCTATGAGTAAGAACTTTCCCTTCTACTTCATTTATTTATTTTTTATATCGGTAGGCACTCATGGATCTTTATTTTATTCAATAGGTTATGACATGTTACTATTATTATTGATTTTAATGCTGAAATTACCCAGATTTCTTCCATAGGAGTCCATTCAAATTGGCTTCTATATCCTTTTGACATATACCTATTATTTTTATTGTTTCCTTATTTTTATTTTTATTTTTATTTTTTGCACAACGAGATATTTTAGGCTTATTTTGTTCTTTCCCTGTCCCAACCCTGGAATCTGCCATTTCTCCAAAGAGCTTTGATTCCTTTTTGTGGTGAATGGAATTGTTGAAACCAAATCTGGGTGCTGGGTATACACATTGCCACTACGGTATCATTGCTTATAGACTCTCCCAGGGAACAAATCTGTATAAACATGCATACACACATACATATGTATATACACATATCTAATGTCTGTCTATAAAAAACATTAATTCATGCTGAGACTAGTCTAGTACCATGGAGTTCATTCCTCTCCTTCCTGGCTGCATGTGTTAGTCCTTTCTTCAAAATGGAGAACCTGGCTCCCATTATCCTAAATATATTTACTCATTTGCTCA